AGTAGAGACGGGGTTTCACCATGTTGACCAGGATGGTCTTGATCTCTTGACCTCGTGATCCACCCGCCTCGGCCTCCCAAAGTGCTGGGATTACAGGCTTGAGCCACCGCGCCCGGCTGTTGTTGTTGTTGTTTTCGTTTTTGTTCTAGATGGAATCTTGGTCTGTTACCCAGGCTGGAGTGCAGTGGCTCAATCTCAGCACACTGCAACCTCCACCTCCTGGGTTTCAAGCAATTCTCCTGCCTCAGCCTCCTGAGTAGCTGGGACGGCAGGCACATGCCACCATGCCCAGCTAATTTTTGTATTTTTAGTAGAGATGGGGTTTCACCTTGTTGGCCAGGCTGGTCTCAAACTCCTGACCTCAGGTGATCCCCCTGCCTTGGCCTCCCAAAGTGCTGGGATTACAGGCGTAAGCCACCGCTCCTGGCCTGATTGGATTTCTTTATTGTAAGCTTGATTGGTCATTTGACTTCCTTTCTCACTAGCCTGCTAACACATAGACATGGTTTCTGATAGTTGGGTCTTAAAAAAAAAGTTAACTTTCATTTCAAGTCTTATAAAATTTCCTAGCTTTCATAGGTTGCCAATATTTATATTGGGGTATTTGGTCTGCTTCACTTTTTCGTTTGGAGATGAACATTTACTCATAAAAAAAATTGTCTCCCTCGGCCCGGAACAGTGGCTCACACCTGTAATCCCAGCACTTTGGGAGACTGAGAGGGGCAGATCACGAGGTCAGCAGTTCAAGACCAGCCTGGCCCATATGGTGAAATCCCATGTCTACTAAAAATACAAAAAATTAGCCGGGCATGGTGGTGCATGCCTGTAATCCCAACTACTCTGTAGGCCAAGGCAGGAGAATTGCTTCAACCCAGGAGGCGGAGGTTATAGAGAGCAGAGATCACACCATTGCACTCCAGCCTGGGCAACAGAGCGAAACTCCATCTCAAAAAAAAAAAAAAAAAAAAAAAAAAATGGTTTCTCTCAACCAAAAGCCGTGGTTTTGAGATCTGATACGAATGATGCCCTTGCAAGTTTTACTGCTCTTCCTCTCAAGCTTTTTTCTCAGTTATAGGTACATCCAATCCCATGGCTTGCTTGGTGATTTGTAGCATCTCTGCAATGCACCAAAGGATATTTTTTTTCCATCATCTCTGGATTGCAAATTATAGCCCCCCGTGCGTGGAAATAGCCACTTGCTTCTTTATATCTGTAGTGCAATTACAAGAACAACAGGTTCAGGACCTATTCCTATGTTTTCCAGGTCTTCTAGACTTAGCCATGATATTGGTTTACTTTATCAACTTCATCATCCTAAGAGGCCACAAAGTAGGCGGAGTTAGAAAGCAGCAACAGCACATCCACATCTCTGTGAGTAGCACCAAGAAGGGTGCACTCTGAAAATTGTCGCTGTAGCCAAGCAATAAAAATTACACCACAATACATTTTAATATGAAATAAATTCAACTCCTATTAACTTTTGCTACTTTC